GGGGGGGGGGGGGGGGGGGGAAACCATGCTACTGTACCTGCCAGTGCTCATACTCACCTGACGGAAGTGGTTCAACTTATTTAACATGCTTTGTAAGTTCTGAATTGTTTTACTCCGAATAGGTTCACTAGCGGGACAGGTTTTTTCTGCAAGAAAAGAGAGTGCTTTAGAGGAGGACTCGAACGCTGAACCTGTTCTCATATTGAGTATTGATTGCCAAGAGTGCTGGCTCTCCACTTCAAAGCTGTCAATGGTTTTGAGGGAGCCACTGAGTCCCCCTGAACTTCCTGTCTGAAAATAACAGACAGGAAGCAGGATTCATCTCTAACAAGGAGCTGTTTAGGATGAGTGATTTGACTCCCTAAGCTGACTGCGGTATAGCAGGATCTGAGTAGGGACGAGCATGACAACCGCTAGCAAAATTCAAACAACTGGATTGGGGTGAAATGGCATCTTTCTCTACCATCAAGCTTTTGTACCGTTTCCTTGAAAATAAGCCCTACCCTGAAAATAAGCCTAGAACAGGGGTCTTCAAACTTGACAGCTTTAAGACTTGTGGACTTCAACTCCCAGAATTCCTCCTCCGGTCATGTTAGCTCAGGAATTCTGGGAGTTGAAATCCACAAGCCTTAAACTTGCCAAGTTTGAAGACCTTGGCCTAGCATGTGTTTGTGTGTGTGCCTAATATAAGCCCTACCCCCCAAATAAGCCCTACCTAACAGCCTGCACAGCCGGCTGGCCATTCATTCCGCCTGGTTGCTCATGGTGCCATGGTGAGGTGAGGGTTGGTGGAGCTGCCCCATGTGCGCCGCACTGGCTTACCTCAGGACCCCCACAACCAGGCCATCCACGCACCGACTGGTGCCTCGTGGTAGTAGCACTGGCAGCCATGTACAGCAGGAGCCCACATGGCCGCCAGCCCACTTCTGCTTGCTTGCAGTCATAATGAAACAGGAGGCTGAGTGGTGTGCTGGTGCCACGGCCGCAAGATGAGGCAAGTATCAGGGCATTGATTGCCTGGCTGTGGAAGCCCAGAGGTAAGCCGGTGCAGGACACATGAAGCAGCTCCCTCCCTCACCACGTAGTTGCGACATTGGCAGGTTGCTCAGCCTCCTGCTCTCTGCGGCTGGGAACAAGCAGAAGTGGGGCGGTGACCACGCGGGGTCCTGCTGGCTGGGGTGTTGGAGCTGCTGCCTTGAGGCGAGGCAGGTGTCAGGACATGGGTAGCCTGGCTGTGGGGGCCCTGAGAAGCCAATGTGGGGCACATGGGGCAGCTCCACCCCTCCACCTCGCGCAGCGGCACTATTGCGCAGCATACCTCCCCTCCCGCCGTGAACAAGCAGAACTAGTGAGCCTCCTGTACATGGAAAACAAGACACCCCCCAAAAATAAACCCTAGTGCTTATTTTGGGATCCAAAAGAAAGTCTTGACCCAGTCTTATTTTCGGGAAATGCGTATATAATCCAAATTTCTGTAATCAGATTCATTTCAAAATTACTCAGTATTCCAATTCATATATTGGCACCGTGCTGGCCATGAACTCCTTCTAAGTCCATAAATCAGAGCTGCGAGTGTGTAATATTGTTTAACACCAGCTCTGAAAAGTTTTAATATTGGTAAGCGAGCCTCATCCTCAATCCAAAAGAGTGGTCCCATCTGTCCCTTTCCAAACACCAACATGGGTCTGGTACAAATGTTTACTGAAAGAAACCATTCATATGGCTGGACTCTCATTAGCTACACACCACAGAACTAATGGTAAAGCATAATGGGAACTAATGTCCAATAGATCAGTAATTTTTCCACTTGTAAAACAAAAGTTTGGTTGTCCTTGATAAGCGTCTGAATGAGCTACCCATTCTTCCTAAATCAGGTTTGGATAATAGGTATAATAAGTATACATAAATGGAGAGGGAGTGAAGGTTCGTTCTCCAAGGTTGTGAGTTGGTTTCTGAACGTTTCCTTACCAGACTAGGTAATCTCCTCAACTCTGCTGAAGATGTTACTTTCACCCTTATCCTACACTCGAGCTATAGATATTCACCACTATTTGCAAATACATAAATAGCTTTAGCTATTTCCAGGCGATTTTCAAGGAAGAAATGTACCATTAAAAAGCTGCATTCTTGCGTAACTTCATTCAACCTATTGCAGAGGTCTTTAAGCGACTTGTCTGGACAAGGAGTCCCTCAAGACTCTTGAGCAATTTCTTTGGAAAGACTTCACCATCCATCACCAACGTACAAAAAAAAACTTGCCCTTTTCCTGTCATGGTTCCCAAATGAGGGAGCTTCTGGTTAAGTTTCCTCACCTAAATAGTTATGCGTCCGGAAAGAAAAATCAAAATTATCCTGCAGATCGTCGTGTTGCTCAATGGAACATTTCAGACTCTGTGGAATACAGCCAGACGTCAAAGTACAGACCAAGCAAGAGTTTTGAACAAGTATAACAATTAGTAAGACTCCCTGAAAAGACAGGACCTCAGATGATCTCCATTCTGTCATGCACAGCAGGAATTCAATCAGTACAAAGGAGGTCAATCGGGAACAGCACTGCATTCCATTTGGAGCATCCCAAAACATGTTTGTGCCAATAAAATTAGGCTTTTTGGGGCTTCCTATTCAAAATAGCAATAGCAATAAGACTTAGATACCGCTTCACAGTGCTTTTACAGCCCTCTCTAAGCGGTTTACAGTGTCAGCCTATTGCCCCCAACAATCTGGGTCCTCATTTTATCCACCTCAGAAGGATGGAAGGATGGGTCAACCTTGAGCCTGGTGGGATTCGATCTGCCAAACTGCTGGCAGCCGGTGATCAGCAAGAAGTAGCCTGCAGTACTGCATTCTAACCACTGCGCCACTGTTGCTCTTCAAATGAAATGTCTATTCCCATTTCCACTCTTTGTACCCCCACAGAAACTCCGAACTGTTTGGGTGACTAATTTTGACCCACTTCCTGGTATATCTTTCAAGATGCAAATGAGAGATTTCTGGGAGACAAAATGCTCCTGTCTTTACCCTTAAGCCCTCATTCCTCCAGGGTTTGATTAATAATGAACACAAAGTAAACAATAGGAATATCTTTCTAATACAGCAATCTCCAATCTTTGTGGCCTGGCGGCCCGGCTTGAGGGGGGAAGAGGGGAACCAGGCCATTCGAGCAGTGGGCTGATGCGCACGTGCAAGCAGACACAGCTTGACTGCCAGGCTGTAGTCTATTTGGAACTGGACTATGCAAGAGGTAGGCTGACACGCACACACGCAGCTCCACTTGTCTATGCGCTGGCCCACTACTCGTGCGAGTGGAGCTGCCTGCACAAACATCGGCCTGCCTGTCGCATGGCCCAGTTTTGAATAGGCCACGGCCTGGTAGTGGGCTGGGGACCAAGGGTTGTGGACCCTGTTCTAATATATAATTTGAATAGGTGCAAAATTAATTTCACCTTTCTGTATCTGTTACATAAATGATGTGGGAATGTGGGAATAGAATCATAATCAAATAAAAATGAAATAGCTTGTTTTAAACATCACATACATTTCCATGTTTTGTTTTAATCAGGGTTGGTTGAAAAAGCCAGTGATCTAGTGCATATTATGCTGAGTTATAACATTTGCAGATTACTATAGTTGTGAATCCAGCCAGTGTAGTCTGCAAACCTCGATTTAAGGTTTAGAATTGCATTAACTCGCCCACTGTTAACTCAAGCACAGTTCAAGCAGACCATGGTAGTTAGTATAAAGCAGGGGTGTCCAACCTTGGCAACTTTAAGACTTGTGGACTTCAACTCCCAGAATTCCTCAGCCAGCAAAGGAGTTGAAGTCCACAAGTCTTAAAGTTGCCAAGGTTGGACATTGCTGGCTGAGGAATTCTGGGAGTTGAAGTCCACAAGTCTTAAAGTTGCCAAGGTTGGACACCCCTGGTATAAAGTGTGATCTAAGCCATGCAGTGGCTTGCCTCAACCTGAAATGGTGTATCTAACAACCTAGAATTCTGCAGGAAAGAGTTAAAAAGCACTGCCAGGCTTCCCACTCTCACCTGAACTGTCCTGTGCATCTCCATTAGCCTCTCCTCAATCTTATGCTGGTGGCTGGTAGGTACAGGAGAATCACATGGAGAATCCACACTTGCCTGAAGAGAGAAAAATACACAAAAATTGGTAACTCATTTGTATGGATCATCATTGAAGGGGCTTCCCTGCCCCCCCCCCCACAAAAAAGTTCCTGTTGTTAAGAGAGACACCCTGTATCTCGCTCAAATCCTCAGACCTTTCCCCCTACACCTTTATAGCACTGTTATTTTATATCATTCTTTTATTCCTATTTTTCTTTTTTTCCCATTGCAGATTTTTTTCTCTCTCTCAGTCTCTGGATTTCCCTTTCCAATTCAGGGCTGATTTACCCAGTGAAAATGTTCATCCAAAACAAACATAAAATTAAAAGCTTGGGATGCATTTTGCTTTGGTGCAGATCTCGGGAGAGGAGAATGTACTAAAATTATGCTTGAAGCAGTGGTGGTATGCTACCGGTTTGGCCCGGTTCAAGCGAACTGGTAGCAAAATCACTACGGTGCATGGGAGGGTGGCTCCTAGCTTTTTGTTTTTTTTATCCTCTCAGCTGCTTGACTTGTTGGGGGCGTGCACACGGGCGATCACCCACCAAACCGGTAGTGACTAAAGTAAGATCCCAATACTGGCTGGAAGTGTGATGCTGGTGGAATAGAAAATACAGCATTAGAGTTTGCAAATTACTCCTATCCTAAGTCCACCTTCCCAGGAAAAAAAACAAACTCTTTCCACAACCACAGAAGCATTTGGCCATAATAAATATTGATTAAAACACTAGAAGACAGAGCACCCAGCAAAATAAGAAGATAGCCCTTGATTAACTCAAAAAGCTATTGTCTTTGTAATGCTAAGTCTCATAACCTCATCATTCCACCCTCACTTGAACACATGACCAGTCAAATACACTGATGTAATGTAAACAGCAATAGCACTTAGACTTATATACTGCTTCACAGTGCTTTACAGCCCTCTCTAAGCAGTTTACAGAGTCAGCATATTTTCCCCAACAATCTGGGTCCTCATTTTACCCACCTCGGAAGGATGGAAGGCTGAATCAATCTTGAGCCTGGTGGGATTCGATCTGCCAAACTGCAGTAGGAGTAGCTTGCAGTACTGCACTCTTAACCACTGCGCCACCGAGGCTCTATATCTACTAATCAACTAATTGTATTGAATTCATCGTATGTATACCTTAATTTGCATAAAGCCGCACATGGGGGGGTGATGCTTAACTGTTTCCAAGTTTAGCAACAGCTGCCTTCAGCACAGTAATAAACCAATTCATACTTCAGTAGAATTATGGATTGGTTGCTGATTTAAAACAAACTCTTGGCGAAATTGTCACCTTGTGAGAATTTGTCATCAAGCATCATCTTGGAGGAGAGATGAGGGGCATAGAAATTTAATCAATAAATAAATAGATTGGGAGAGGGGTTTTTTTTTCCCTGATGGGATGGGATGGGGCATTTAGTCCAAGTAGACCTTGACTTACAACCACAATTGAGCCCAAGATTTCTGTTGCTAAGTGAGACATTTGTTCAGTGAGTTTTGCCCTTTCTGGTCACAGTTGTTAATTGAATCCCTGCAGTTGGATTAGTTAGTAATCTGGTTGTTAAGTGAATCTGGCTTCCCCATTGACTTTGCCTGTCAGAAGGTCGCGAAAGGGGATCCCGTGACCTTGGGAGACAGCAACGGTCATAACTATGAACCACTTGCCAAGCATTTGAATTTTGATCATGGGGACGCTGCAAAGATCGCAACGATGAAAAATGGTTTTTCAGTGCCGTGGTAGCTTTGAACAGTCACTAAATAAACTGTTGTTAGTTGAGGACTAAATGTAACAAACCAATTCATATTGTAATGAACTTATGGGTTGGTTTAAAACGAACTCTTGGGGAAATTGTCACCTTCTGACAATTTGTCATCAAGAGTCAACCTCGTTGGGGAGAATGAGCAGCATAGAAATATAATAAATAAAATAAAATAAATAAATTGGGGGAGGATTTTCTTTTCCTTCGCTGGGAGGAGATGGGCATTTGGTAAATCAAATTGCTAGATGGAGGAGACTGTGTTTTGTGACTGTACAAGGAGAAGACGACCAAGCATGGGTTTTTTTTTTTTGTTTACCTGAGAGGCAGAAAAGGCTTCGGACAGTATTGCTTTCTCCTGTCTCAACAGAGCCTCAATGGCAATGGCTAGTTCCTGGGGATGTTCTTGATACTTGCTCTGGAAGGCAGGACCCAGCAAGACAGAAAAGTATGAGGCTATATCCAAATAAAAACTTTTTATATCATCTGTGGCCAAGAACACCAGACCTTTTTGAACTCAGCATTTGCATGTCATCTGGGTGGCTCTAGTGAAAAACAAGATATAGTCTTTGGTTTCTTGTTTGACAGTTTCCACTGTCACTAACTAGGTTCTTTATCTTACCTGAGGTTTACAGATTACAGATAATCAGAGTTGGAAGGGACCTTGTAGGTCATCTAGTCCAACCTCCTGCCCAAGCGGGAGACCCTACACCATTTCTGACAAATGGCAGTATGAAATCGCACCAGGATAGCAATAGCATTTAGACTTATATACCACTTCACAGTGCATTACAGTCCTCTCTAAGCGGTTTACAGAGTCAGCATGTTGCCCCCAACAATCTGGGTCCTCATTTTACTCACTTCCTGCAGTACTGCATTCTAACCACTGCACCACCACGGCTCTCCTCATGGCCATCATATGAGTGCAGGAAAGGCCCACACAGCAACTAAGAGTTCCCCAATAAATGCACACATTTTGTCTCGCTTGGTCAGCAAGGATAAGGTTCTAAACTATATAGGCCAGTGCTTCTCAACCTTGGCCCCTTTAAGTTGTGTGGACTTCAGCTCCCAGAATTCCTCAGCCAGCATGACTGGCTGCAGAATTCTAGGAGTTGAAGTCCACACATCTTAAAGAGGCCATGGTTAAGAAACATTGGCATAGATGATTAAAAAAATGCCAAGCTCTTCAGTTCTTCCTCCTGTCTTGGTATCATGAAGGGAGGCTCCCATATCATTCTGACCCTTTCCCGCTGTGCAGGAAAGTGTTCTATGCATACCGATAGATGCAGTTTGGAACGGCGCAAGTTGTGCTTGAGTAACATGTTAGCATTGTTCTCTTCGCCCAACGCCAGGCGTCCGATCTGATCATCCAGTGAAGACAACATGGTATGAAAAAGACAGCTGGCTTGTGAGGGGCCCAGTTCTATTGCTTGGTTCCTAAAAGCAGATAATGGAGAGAATGCAAAGCAAGACTCAGACTGCCTTGGCTGAGATAAAGAGAAAGTCATTGCCAAAAAAGGCATCCCATATAGCTTTGGAGGTAGGGAAGGGAGGAGATTGTTGGTAGTCAGAAAATGGAACCGTAACAAACCAAGTCTTATACCTCTTGGGTCACAATTTAGGTAATATAAGGTCTGAGAAAAAAAATGGCACCATGGTTAAGGCACTGAACTAGAAACTGGGAGATTATGAGATCTAGTCTTGCCTTAATCGCAAAGCCAACTTGGTGACCATAGGCCAATCCCTCTTTCTCAACTCTAGGAAGGAGGCAAGGGAAAACCACTTCTGAAATCTTGCCATGAAAACTGTAGAGACTAGTCAAGACAATTACCAGGAGCAAGGTTTGAGTCATCAAACCCATAATCTGGGAATATTTTAATGAAGTTCCTAAACTTATAGCTAAGGCAAGAAAAGTGCCAGAGACCTGCTTACTTAAATGAAATATAATAATCTTTTAATTCTTATATTTGCTTTTTCTCTGACAATGGTGAAGAGACTGTAACCTACCAGGTGTTTAGATTAATAAATATTAGATAGTTAAATCCTCATTTTTAAGGATCTATCTATCTGACAGAACTTTTGGATAGGCTTCTCAAATTGTGATTCTTTGAGATGACTGAATAAATATGTAGTTGTTACTACATCTGAGTAGTGCATTGTGTTTAAACTAGGGAAATACTTATTTTACGGTTCTATTAATGCACAGACTTAGTAATGTTAAAACAATCAGTAGACTTCATACTTTTATTCAAGTGTACAATCTTTAGAATACAAGGTTCAGAAAGCCATCCATTTGTATATGTAGTCCTTGACTTACAACCACAATTGAACTCAAAATTTTTGTCTTTGTTGCCATAGTTGTTAAAGTGAAATATTGCAGTTCTTAAGTTAGAGATACGGTTGTTAAATTAATCTGGTTTCCCCACTCCTTTGCCTGTCAGGTTACAAAAGATGATCATATAACCCCAGGACACTGCAACCGTCATAAATACAAGTCGTTTGCCAAGGGTCAGAATTTTGATTATATAACTATGGAGATGCTGCAATGATTGTATGAAAAATGGTCATAAGTAATGTTTTTCAGTGCTGTTGTAACTTTGAACAGTCAGTAAATGAACTGTTGTAAATTAAGGACTACCTGTACTATATTTAGGGTCTATCATTTCAGAGTTAGCTGATACCACATGATGTATGTCAGAAAGACCTTTATTCACATAGAAAGAGATGTACACAATAATAAATAATAAAAACCAGCAGATCAAAGATGAATTACTTTCATGGAAATGACTGATAGAAATAAGCATTACCAGTTTTGTTCCTCAATCCAGTAGGCTAAATACTGACGCACTTCCATGGGTAAGGTGTCCTCTGAATAGAGTAAATCTATCTGGTCCATGTGAACCTTGTCCAGCATTTGAATTCGTTGCCATTGAGACATCTTGGAATGTGCTGCTGAACCTCGTACACCTAAGCAAGGAAAGACATCAGGAACATTGTAAGAACATTGAGCAACTGAGAAAAGTAATTTTTTTTGTATTACACGTTCTCTTTCAAAAGCATGTCTACATCAAGTACAAAATAAAAAATGTGTTTTGCACGGGGTTGTCATGTATGATGGCTTGTACGTGGCATAAGTATGAAAAAGATGAAGAAATACAAAGGAGCTGCTAAATTAAAACTCCCTGAAAAAGGAGAAAGTAACAGAAATGAGACCAGGGTTTTTCCTTCCTTTGATGTGAAGGGAGGCAGTAAAATACTGTAAATGCCATTGTGGAATGTGAGGTAATTTCTGTAATTAGGGTAGGTTAGAGTCCCATTAGTAAGAAAAATGTAGAGATGCTGAAACAGCCAAAGCAAGGTCATCCTGTGGTGTTATCAGATGTGACATTCCAGCTGTAAAGTCATAGAATTTGATTCGCTTTCTCATTCCTATGTAACCTTTCTGAAGGAATATAATAGCAATAGAAGTCCCAAAGGTGCTTTTCAAGAGGCAACTGGATTTTCTGGTTTTTCTTTGAAGATGTTTCACTTCTCATCCAAGAAGCTGAAGAAGCTTCTTGAATAAGAAGCAAAACGTCTTCAAAGAAAAACCAGAAAGTCCAGTTGCCTATTGAAAAAAAATATCTTTGGACAACCATGACCTGGATGACTGAGAATCTCCATAGACAATAGCAATAGTACTTACGTTGCATTCAGAAAGTATTCAGGCACCCTTCACTTTTGTCAATTTTGTTATGCTGCAGCGATTCTACAGTTATTGAAATTCAATTTTTTCCTCATTACTCTACACTCAGTACCCCATAATGACAAAGTGAATCCAGAATTTTAGAAAGGTCTGTAAATTTATTAAAAAGAAAAAAAAACCTGAAATATCACATTGGCTTAAGTATTCAGACCCTTTATAACAACATGTGAAATTTAGCTCTACTGCCTCCCATTTCTCTTGATCATTGCTGACCTGTTTCTACACCTTGAATGGAGTTGACCTGTGGTAAATTAAATTGATTGGATGTGATTTAGAGGCTGAAAAACAGCTTCTATCCCTGGGCAGTAACTCTATTGAATTCTACTGTATAATGCAATATTAATGCAATATCAGAGGTTTTCAATTCAATGTATAGTATGTGAAGGATGTGTATTTGTGTTTATTTTCATAGTCGTAATGTACACTGAAGATGGTATTTAATTTTGTTGTACGAGGTGCAATGACAATAAAGTAAAAACTAATTTTTTTTAGAAAGGCAGGCACCTCTCTATAGAAGGCGTCACAGCTGGCAATGCATGCTGTAGCAGAGCTAAAGCCACGAGGTCTAAGGAACTGCCTGCAGAGCTCAGAGACAGGATTATTGCAAGGCACAGACCTGAGGAAGGCTGCAATAAAATCTCTGCTGCACTGAAGGTTCCTAAGAGCACAGTGGCCTCCATAATTCTCAAATGGAAGACATTTGGTGCAACCAGGACTTTTCCAAGAGCTGGTCGCCCGATCAATTTAATTTACCTCTGGCTGACTCTATTCAAGGTGTAAAAACACGTCAGCAACGATCAAGAGAAATGGGAGGCACTAGAGCTAAATTTCACATGTTTGTTATAAAGGGTCTGAAATACTTATGCCAATGTGATATTTCAGTTTTTTTCTATTTAATAAATTTACAGACATTTCTAAAATTCTGTTTTCACTTTGTCATTATGGAGTACTAAATGTAGATTAATGGGGGGAAAAATGAGTTTCAACAACTGTAGAATCAGGCTGCAACATAACCAAATTGACAAAGGTGAAGGAGTCTAAATACTTTCTGAATGCACTGTAGACTTATATACCACTTCATTTTGCTTTTAAAGCCCTCTCTAAGAGGTTTAGAGTCAGCATATTGCCCCCAACAATCTGCGTCCTCATTTTATCGACCTCAGAAGATGGAAAGCTGAGTCAACCTTGAGCTCGTGAGAACTGAATTGCTGGCAGATGGCAGAATTAGCCTGCAATACTGCATTCTAACCACTGTGCCACCACGGCTATATAACACATTACCTTGTTCAGGGCTCTTTTGCATTCCTTTGGGGCCGTGCCCAGTTCATACTGTAGTTGTGCATGCCACTATAAGTTACTTTGCTCCATCTGTAAGTTCTGGTTCCTTATTGAAGTAGGCATTTCTCCTACAAGAATTTCTTACCAGGTATTTATAAAGTGTTGTGCATGTGTGTTTCTCTGTGTGTGCTTGTGTGTATGCGTGTGTGCGTGCGTGTAATCAGTTGCCAAGTTTCAGTAAGGAGTTCCTTGCTGCAACTGATAAAAGCTAATTTGTACACAGAATTTAAACAAATTACCATATAATGGGGCCAGTCAGAAGCCTGCCCAAGGATCATAAGGAAGGTATTCCTCTGCAAGGGAGATGATACTCATTTTTAAATACATGCTAAGAGGCATGCCTAACTATGAAAAGGCATATGATTTAAGCCACAATATTCCCTTGACATCAGTAGCTTTTTCCTTTTGATTTCAAGAAGTTCTTTGTTGCTTCTCTGTGGTTGAGAATAAGAGAGCAAAAGAGAGCAAAAAAAAAAAAAAATCAAATAAAAAAGATTAAAGAGAACAATGCAAATCAAATGAAGGCCTGCCTTGTGAATGTAGAAAATACGAGTTTTGCTCTGTTTCCAAATTTTGTCAGCATAAGGCTAAAATAATTACCATGAGTTTCATAGCTGAATGAAAGCAAAGGGGATGTGAAACAAAGGGGGGGGGGGGGGAAATGTCAGGAGTCAAATGTTGTAAACAAACAAAGCTGGAAAATATCTGTAGAGTTTTAGAAACCAGGAAGTCTTGACAGCATAACTCAGCTCAATCCAAAAAGTAATGAAAAGCATTTGCACAAATACAGGAGATATCCTTGGTGTGGTTGAACTGCCCAGGATTTAGATTTTACAAAGGAATTCCCTTTTTCCTTGGTTATATAAAGGGCTCATTCTATAGAAATATTGCATAGGGGCTGTTGGAAACTGCAAACTCCTTCTTAATACAGTAAACAGAAAGAAAATCTAATTCAAAATACCACTTCTGGAATGCAATAGGCTTTCCCAAGTTTCTAATGGCCAAATTTCAAAAGAAATCCAGGTAGGCCTCAACTTACGACCACAATTGAGCCCAAACTTTACGTTGCTGAGACAGTTAAAGTAAATTTTGTTCCATTTTACAACCTTCCTTGCTACAGTTCTTAAGTGACCCAGTGTATAAATTAGTAATCTGATTGTTAAGTGAATCTGGTTTCCCCATTGACTTTGCTTGTCAGAAGGTCTCAAAAAGTGATCATGTGGCCTTGGGACACGGCAACCATATGAAACAGTTGCCAAGCGTCTGAATTTTGATCAGATGATCATGCAGATGCTACAATGGTTGTAAGTGTGAAAAAAGGTCATAGGTCACTTTTTTCAGTGCCATTGTAACTTTGAACAGTTATTAAATGAACTGTTCTAAGTCAAGGACTACCTGTATATCCCCAAAATTCTGTTTGTTCTTCCTCCCTCTCCCTCATCCAATTCAAGATTGCACATCTCTTGATCTGCATTTCTTCCAAGTTGGCAAAATCCCCCCCTCCCCCTCCCCCCTTGCTGCAGGTGCATATTCTATCATATTGAGTGATTTGGTCCAATCACTCTCCCTCAACCCAGCCAACTTTACAGAATGTTCTGACCCAGGCTTTATTCAAATTAAGGAAACACACTGTGTGTAAAAGCAAACCTTTTTTAATGTGACGCTGGGAATTATTTGCATTCCCAGCCAAAACTCATTAAAAACAATTGTCTGAGATAAGCGCACGCCTTTCAGGATTGTAAAAGGCTGCCAAGAAACAGAAATCCACTTAATTAGGAGATAAACTGACAGAAATTCCAGCAAAGACAAAACAGAGTTTGCAGGGCTTCGATGAGGAATCAGAATCTAATGAACTTCTTTGCTTCCTGCAAAGGGCACATCACCCAGGGCTGGGCTTTTATCCCTTATGGGAGGGGCAATCACCTTCTAGCCTTACTCCCGAGTCGCCCCTGCTGCTTCAGCTGCTCTCTCCTTCTAGCAGCCCTGCGCATATGCGCACTGGGAATGGGCTTCCCGGGGTCCTCTGCTTCGCTGCTGCCAGACTCCAAAGGCTCTAAAGGCAGCACCCCACTCTCAGATGGTCCTGGTCCCATCCCTGCATCAGATGCAGGACCCTTGTCCAAGTCCTCGCCAGACTCCCGGACTGGTTCCCTTTCATCCTCACTGTCGGGTATCTTTGCCATCCGCACCAGTTGCCGGCGAACCACAACACAGAATTGTTGTTGTGGGGCATATAAGAAGGTAGGGTTACCTTAATGTTCTATAGCAAATGAGGGATGTAAATCAGAACAAATGAGGAGAGCTAGTATGGTATAATGTAAGGCTAGAAACCAGGAGATCATGAGTTCTAGTCCCACATTAGGCACAAAATCAGATGGGTGAGTCCTTGGGCCGTTCCTCTCTTTTACTTCTAGGAAGAAGCCAATTGCAGACAGCTTCCTAAATCTTTCCAAGAACAACTGACTGGAGCCCAGAAAGTTGTCAGGAGTCTGATTTGAACAACCTGAATCACCAATTTTCCTCTTTCCTCCTGGACTCTATTGTGAACATTGTTAGCAGAACTGCTAAATGTATATAGACAAGTCAGTTCAGCTAAGAATCTGTTATACTGAAGAGATTTGGGTGCCTAACCAATGCATTTATCTCAACATTTTTTTTTATTTAGCACATATGTACTTTTGTTATTGTATTTCCTTTTATCTATTTTATCTTGCAAACAGACTTCCGATTTGACCTTTATTTTATTGTTTTTGATATGGCTGTGAGACTAATCAATAAGAAATCAGAACTGACTCAAAGGTAGACCACACAAAAAGATTAAATCAGTAGACGTCTGACAGAGAACAAGCAGAGAATGGGAGGAGGGATGAATGGAATTGCAGCTCAGTGTTTTCTTTTTGAAAAATTAAATCCAAAAAGCCAGGAAAAAGCCTTTAAGATTGGATTAATTGGCTCACCACAATCTGATGCAGCTTGCTGGCTCTGCCCAACTTCTTGAAAACGAAACTTAATTTTGCCACACCCCCAACTGGTAGCTAGCTGAAACCATTCTTTGATCAACCTATTATGCCCAAGCAGGAATATCCATCAAACGAATCTTAATCTTTTTTGTTAGTTTCACAACCCAAACTCTCGTCTGACTCCCACCAGCCAGCCCTTGGCATCCAAGCAAAGTTTTATAGTCATGCCCTCCCCTCCCACATCCACAGAGGCTCTATGCAGCATCCTACAACCATGGTTAGAGCAGCTGTCCATCACCTTTTCCAGCATCACGGCCAGCCCTTTTGACCGAACTAGAAGAGAGAGGGGAGGGGGTACCCTCTTCACAACCCCTGGTTTCCCCCCACCCACCCTCCAAATTTCTGCTTGACTGTGTGTCCCGCTTGCCAACAGCCAAAGCAGAAGCCTCCAAGGGGTCCTGGGACTGTGGGTGCAGGAAGTGGGGGAAGAAATGGAAAAAGTAACAAAAAGCCACGCCGAAGTGGAACCGATCCGCTCGATCAAATAAGGAAGCCGGGTAGATGGGCGGTCGACGGGATAATTCAGTGAGAAGCCAGCCACCCCCCACAACAACTTCGCAAGGAAAGACAGGGCATACCCTCCATTTACCGCTTTTCGGGAGAATTTTGCAAAGGGCTTAGTAGCTAAGATTCATTTCCACACTCTTGTGCTCCCCCCGGAAGGTGCACGAGGGAAGGGCCAACTTGGGGTTGTTGTTTTTTTGCAAGCCGGATTTTCGACCCCTTCTTTTTTTTCCCTGACTTTATTCTTTACTGCTTCCCTCCAAACGGACACGCCTTCCTACCCTTTCACTGCCCGGGTTTAAAACACTCCAGAGTGGCCATAGATCTCGGCACCCTACACGATTCCCCACCCGTCCCCTCCCCTCCGCAGCGAAGCCGCTACCTGCCGAAAGAAGCCGCCGCTCTCCCTCCCGGGAATGGCACAGCAATGTAAACAGCGCAGGTTCAAGCTCTTTGGAGGAAAAACCTGGTCCCTTCTGCGCAGGCGAGACGGAGGGCAGCCCCGCCCACCCTTTCCGTGATTGGACGGAAGTCTGAGCTTTCGTCTAGGAGCGGAGGGAGGAGGTGCTGTCTGAAGAAGAGCCGATTTCGGCCGCTTGGCGTTTTCGATTTCCCAGGAATGATGTCAGCAATGGAGGCGGGGACCTTGCACGCCGGCTATTGGCTGAGGGGGGTTGCAAGCGTGTGTGCGGTGTTGTGTTTTTTTTGACTTTCCCGGTTTGAGTCTGCGCGGTTGATGCTCGGGCTGTGCTGGGGTAGGAATCTGTTTTCATTGGAATTTGCAGGGAAATTCCTGTAGAAAGTTAGCACCCACCCCTCTCCTAGAAGAATGAAAATGAAATACTCGAGAAAATATCAAAAAGGCAGAATATTATATTTCCCTGGATGAGAAAACGAGAAACGTGTTTTTAAAGACAAAGCAGCTCTCTGCACCTGCCTCCCTCCTCCTCCCCCCGCCCCTTCAGCTCCAGGGTGTTGGGATTAAGACATGGCCCTCAGGACATGATAGGATTAGCCCTCTACCCATCTAAGAGCAGGGCTCCCTGCATTGCAAAATCACCTGGGGACATTACATCACCCAGCAAGATTCAACCAAGCCTGGGACTCAAGACACCCTATAAAGTTACCCCTGCATGGCCCCATGGGAATCAGGATGCATTTCTTGTCACAGGAACAGGAAGCAAGTTCAAAGCCCAATAGAGGTTATAAATCTCTTGACCTCTCTCACCCATGTGCTCCAGTTTGCCCAAGACCTCAAACCATGTGGTCCTGTCCACCATGAAAACCATCCTTCCGAGCAGTCTCCATGTTTCCAGTGTCTTTCTTCCCACTTGGAACTGAACCCAGATGGACATTTCTTCCAGCATTCCTGTCTTGAAGTGAATTAAATGCGTATTTCAGCTCTCTCTCCTCGTGTGAGTGTGTTTAATGGCAGTGCAGGATTCCCATTGTTATAAAGGTGTTCATTTCCCATTTCTTCAGCCACTAGATTTACTAGATTTTTTTTATCCTGCCTTTATTATTTTATAAGTAGCTATATATATAATATATATAGTGAGGTGCCAGGCTAGAAGCCAGGAGACCATGAGTTCAAGTTCTTCTGTCTTAGCCATGAAAGCCAGCTGGGTGACTTTGGACCAATCGTTGTCTTTCAGCCCAACCTTCCTCACAGGGTTGTTCTTAGGGGGAAAACAGGAGGAGGAAGGAGTATTGGATATATTCACTACTGTGAGTTATTTATAAAAATAGTAAAGGCAAGATGCAAATAAATAATCCCCGTTCCTCCTATTTTCCTTACAACAACGCCCCTGCGAGGAAGGTGAGAGTGTGACTGGCCCAAGATCACCCAGCTGGCTTTCATGCCTAAAGCAGGATTAAAACTCAAAAGTCTCCTGGTTTCTAGGCCAAGTCTCCTGGTTTCTAGGCCTTAACCACTGCGCTAAACTAGTATTTGTTAAGGTATTAGGATTTAAGAACTGAACAGTGGTGAGTAGCTGCTAGATGTTGTGAATCTGATGTAAGTCTGACTGATGTAACAAGAGTGATTCAGCCGAGTATGGGTATTTCCCTTTAAAGTTCCTTTTAAGAGGTGTGTATATAAAAGGCAGCCATTAGAGGGCATGGTTCTCTTTCCTTGTGACCAGTATTCAGTGCAGAAGTTATCTCTGTGTTAAGAAGAAGAAAAGCTTGCTTGTAAAGGTATTTTGCCTACCACGTGTTTATTGTCTGTATATACCTGTTGTATATTAAACCACTGTTACTGTCTAAGTCTCTGTGTGCTGTGTATCACTCCTGGGTGTCTCATAAAGGTAGTCACGCTGCCAAATGCTCTGACAGTATTTTTGTTAAGTTTTAGTAGTGTGGTGTTTTATTTTGAAGAGACATTTTGGAAGACATTTTAAGACAGCCTTAAAATATTGAAATAAATGAAATTTAATTTGTGGGAATCTTCTTACAGGTGAGAATCTAAACCAGGAAAACTAAGAGGGAATATCTAATCTGGATCCGCACAACCCTTAAGAGCAATAAAGGCATGAAGAAAAAAAAGTTAGCACCGTAGTGACTTACAAGGTGTGTGCTATGTTTGTATTCCTACCCAAGGAGGACTGTAGCTATAACTGCACCAGTGCAAACTGATCATATTTTTGGAGGAGAAAGTGTAGGGTCTCTACTAGGGCATGTCTTGCCACCTTGAGATTCATCCAGGGGTGGGATTCTACCAGTTCGCACCTATTCGCTAGAACTGGTTGTTAACATTCTAAGCAGTTTGGAGAACCGGTTGTTAGAAGAAATTACTGGCCTAATCCTGTAAGGAAGGCAGGAAGGAAACATTCTGGTGTTGCTTACAGAAACTGCCTCTCCATTAACCCTTATTACATTCTTGGCAGGACTAGACTTCCTGTCTCAGGAACTTCTCTGGAGTTTTTTCCCCTCCTTTGCTGGTACTTTGCTTCTGTGGAGGGACCATTTAAAGTTACAATGGCACTGGAAAAAGTGACTTATGACCATTTTTCACACTTACGACTGTTGCAGCATCCCCACAATCATGAGAGGCCAAGCGAGGAGATGCATGCCTCGATGTGAGTGATATTGAGTTGGCCACACCCAGCTAATAACATGACCACCAAGCCATGTCCACCCAGTCACATGACCACCTAAACCACACCCACCACCTAAGCCATGCCCACAGAACTGGTTGTTAAAAATTTTGAATCCCATCCCTGGTTTCATCCACGAAAATGAGGAATTACTGGAAAAGGCAGAAGTCTTGTCGACAAACTGAACACAGCAAGGAAGAAACAAGTATTAGGAGAAATGGAGCCCTAAAAGGAGCGGTGGTAGTATGTCACTCAGAAGAAAAAAATAATGAGAAGACCATCCTTACCAATGGAATTGAACAATTAATTTCATAGCCTCCCTCTCTGGAAAAAAGCAAGGCAGTATTCCTTTTGAGAGGATTCCTGGTGAGATTCTTGATTAATTGTCAGTCTTCACAAGTAACAGTGATGACTAGGGAATATTATAATGAACCTATGTACACATTCTTCTTCCCCCTCCCCCATTTTTTCCAAAGATGGGAGACCTATAATAAAATATTCTGAATAAAAGATTGTAGTACAGAAATCCAGCTTGTCTAATCCATTCCACCTCCAATTCTTTCTTCCCTCAACAGCCAGCATTTCATGAGATTTACAGCTGTTGTTTGGTTTTGGAAACCTTGCAATCGCCCTTCCCCAAGTTTGCTGACACTATTTTAAATAAGTAAATATTTCTTCAGAAAACATTCCCATTCACCACTGTTCTGTCATGAATGCCCTTTGATTACATTTCTTTGAAATGGTGAAAATAGGAGTAATAGTGCTGTCCTTTCCAGCCATAATTAGAACTAGCACAGGACAACAGAATTCTTACAATTCACAGAACTGTCATAGGGTTCAAACAGTTTTGGACAAAGACCAGAGAAGCTAAAAGATTGTAAATAGTACCTGTCAGTTCTAAACAGCTTTATTGTGTAATGTTATATTACATAATAAATAAAACCATTTATGATTATTGTAAATACAATTGATAGATAAAATGAGGGGAGAAAAAGCAAATTAGTAAAGAAGACATGGATACAAGAAGGAACCAGCAGACCAGAGATGACAATAAGAGTAGGACAAAGAATAGTCAGTTCTACAAAATTCTGCTTGGGTGTTCATTACATGTCCCTCTGAGGATTCTCTGGACCATCCAACTACAAAAAGTAAATCCTCTATGCCCAGCTGTCTCTGACACAATGTTTTGTAAAAAAAATCATCCTATGAAACTGGGCATCTAAAAGCCGCTGATGTGGAAAAAGAAAAGAGCAAAGCATCCGCCATTTTCTGTCACTTAAAACGCCAGCATGTATTTTAAAAATACTGATATAATTTTTAATAGCTTCAATCAAGAGTTCTCAAACTTTGGGTTGTGACATTTCCACTTGGGGGGGGGGGCTGAGGACTGGGGGGGAAATGTAAATGAAAAGCATCAGGGTTTTCTTTAAAAAAAAACCTGGAAAGCTTTAGAGCTGTCAGATATCAATCTTTGGACCCTGTTCTGGTCCTCGGTTAATTGCCTGAACCTATCAAGTTCAAGAATCATGGTAATCATTATATAGATTAAAATTTAATCATTTAAGCGATACATTTATTTCTTGCTCAGACTTAACTCCAACAGAATCAAATTGGAAATTTTATTGGATGGGTTGTACGTACTCATTTATTATTTGAGGTGATTGTAGCAGTGCCAAGTTTGAGGATGCCTAGATTAACATGCGATATCTGAGTCAGAGAAGTTGATGGGGACTGGACTCGGTGGTTGCTCTTCCTTTTGAAAATTGACAATTACAGCCTCTACACCTGTTTTGAACAGTGGTTTCACTGCCGTAGCAAACCCCATCCTAAGGGGAGTTGCAGCCCCCCCAGTGAGAGCAACCAAGGTATCAAAACCCAGATCTATGGCCCCATCTTGAGCACGCTTCTTGGCCAAGTCAATGCAGTCTTGAGTATAGTAGTATATGCTGCTTCCAAAGTTATATAGAGTGCTGACACCAGGTATGAACCCCAAAATCTTGTTTACCATTTGCTCCGTTGCATTTACACAGTGTTCTGGTGATGAACGTCGCATGCGTGCCTGCATCGGGCACTGATGAAGCCAGGAATGAGAACCTTGCTCTGGCCAGAAGTAGCTGCCATTTCTAAGCACCACTTGGAAGGGACTGCTGCCATTGGTGATAACTCCTCCACAAACATTCCCCAAATGGTGACAGGCTGCAGCAGCTGTTGGAAACCACTTATATTCACGGTACACCTCGCCATGCAGGAGAGCTCTATCGACCTGCATCAGGCCTTGGCAATGTGAGGCTTGTTTCAGGGCTAACTGGTCCAAATTGAACTGTAGGGCAGCAAAGCTTGTAGGTTTAGCTGTAGGTTTAGCTGTGTCCAGGATCTTTATCATTGTCAACAAGAGACCACTAGCATCTTTCTGCCCCAGTTGCTGGTACAGCCCTAGCCCAAGCATTTTGGCATGGTGGCTGCAGCCTGCATTTTGCAAGGCAAGCACCAGGATAGCTTGAATCATAATCTGGGCTGGTCGAGGCACGCTGTCAAAATGTTCAAAGGTATCTGGCATTAAGTTGCTGCAAGAAACCTTTTCAGGCAACTGGGTGGAATTGGAAGAGATGGAAGTGAGCAAAGTGTGGAGAGAAGCGAGGCTGGAATCCGAGATGGAATTTTCAATATGGTTTCTTGGATCGGTTGTAGTCACTGGTTGCCCTCCCAATCCATGATGCGGCAGGAGGCCAAGGAAAATCACGAGCATCAGAGAGGGTGATAAGTACATGGCAGCTTCTTGGGCACTGCTACAATGGGAAGAAATCGATTTATTGATTTATTTAAGTAATACAGAAAGTCATCCACCTCCGGGGAAGATGCAAACATTAAAAAAAAAAA